TTTTGCACTCGCAAAAGAATTCATTTGAATAGTTGCACATCAAGATATCGTAAATTCATTCAAATATTTTTCTTGTCATGCTTTAAAGTTCTTCCGGGTTGCATGATTATCCTAGCACTATCCTAATTGTTTTCTCTTGATGCCGCATATGTTTGTTATCCAAGATCACACGGGGCTTCGAATAATTTGGGAAAACTCAAAATTCGCCAGGAACTCCTTGACTTTTCAAAAAATGTTAAAAGCGAGTAGAAAGTGCCAATCAAAAAGCTTACTGTTGCTTCAACCAATAAATAACGAGGGTTCACGGTGTACAAATGAGCTTCTGACAGAACATTGAAGTATGATTTGAATCACGCTGTACATAAATTCTGAAGTTGTTGATTCCGAATAGGAGAAACCAAAACCAAGTTTTTATAAGGGCAACTATAATCATCTGGTATCTCCTCTATACATGACAAAGATTCGTAATCCAAAGATATAATGGGTATGCCCGTCATTTGTAGAATATTGGGTGGTTACTAATATGTAAAACTTTTGTGAATTGAACGACATTTATTACACGTCATATCTTCAATCAAAACTTTGAACAGATACCTTATGACATAGATTCATTCAAAAATAGCTGTGGATTTTCTTACAAAAAAAGAAGATCTTTCCCCCTTTCTTATATATTAAATAACTGTACCTTAGTAAAAATTAAAATAGGTTGTCATGTTCGCTATGCACAGTTGATCCTTCTCTTGGCAAATCGTAACAGTTTTGCATCGTCTTGAAATTTTCTCTAGATATAGTGTGTTCCCCAAAAATTGAACCTCTACGTAACGATACAGCGATGTAGTATGTGGCAATTCACTTGTACCTTTAACATGTTTGAATTGAAATTCTACGTGGACCTTTAACACAAAATATTCTCTGCTGGAGCATCTTAATGAGTCAATGTTTTTGCAATCCTATAAACATTCCTATTCTCCAAATATTTTACAAAACTATTCCCTTTCAAACATAAGCTTAACTTTAGACTAGATCGCACGTCATTTTATGCGCAATCTGAAAAACCACAGTAATTTAGGTGCCAATCTCCCGGCAAAGACATGTACTTATGTTGCCAAACACAGAGAAATAGCAATTCCAATGTAATGCCGCTTGAAGTCGGCTTTCATAATGCGGCATCCATCGGCCTCTTACTGTTGACATTGCACTTTTTTCTTCTAAAACCTTCATCTGGGAGTGTTCTATTATTGGTATTCTCCATCATTTCAAATCTACGGCGAGAAAATGTCCTTTGTTGTCTCATTATCTCGACATTTTTTATTTTAAGACTTTAGATACTGGAGATTCGGTTTTCACGTTAATATACAATGCCTAAGGTTTGTCTCTAAATGATCTTTCAAGTTTAGTTTTATACTTTTCAGAAAAGAAGTAGCATACCTCGGGTTTCTTTGAAGCGTAGACTTATTAGGAACAAGTCAGCTGCATAAATTTCAACTCTAGCGTTTAAACAAGTAATAATCTTCTATCTCGTTGCTCTAAACTACAGAATTTCAATAACAGCTCCAAAAAATTCAAGTTGAAAACAAATTGAGGTCTACTTGCATCTAGAAAATCCTTCCATAGATGAATCCTCTGCATAGAGCATACCAGCCTGTTATTGTCATTGCGGTCTTAATCCTTATTGAAAAATGAGAGCATGCTGTTAGTGGCTCTAAGATTACCTTAAAAAATGCTTCTATTATTGCGAGTGTGCTTGTACTTCTAAGAACAGCGCTTGGTTCCACATTGAGGCAAAAATTGAGATTTGGGAAGCAGATTGTCAGATGCTGGAGCGAATGGTTAGATCCTTTCTACTATTTTAAAAACTCCTATTTCAAAGGTTTGCTATGATAGCAAAAATGTTTATTTCAAAGGCCGTAATGTCTTTATGGGAAGCAATTTTACAAAACTGAATACCACCTATACCAGAGAGCTATCATATTAAGATTAGACTGCAGTATCAACAACAGATGTCTTTGTGCAATGACTGTGTCATGCGAGAAAAAAAGAAATTTATGTATTTTGCTAATTTTGTGTTGACTTGGAGCTTAATGGGAATTTATACGAAATGGCTTTCAAAATTTACTTGTAGAATTCTTTGCTTTCTTTGTTCTGACACCAATAGTTATGACAGAAATTTACTACATTAGTTGGGGGAGAGAACTACCACA